TATTAACTGCACCAATCTCCATGGGCGATGGTCCGTCCCTCGATCGAGCGTCGTTGATCGGTCTGCTGTATCCCCTATCGCGATCGTCACGACCCCGTCGGCTTCGTACTGCGTCGACGCGTTCTGCTGCTGCGACTACTGACTCGAAGGTGGACAACCCATGAATCGCTATGACCTCCGCTATGTCCGGCTTCAACCCCTCGAGGTAGCGATCGCGCATCTCTGCTTCCGTGATGTCGTCTATCTCGTTGCAGATACTCAAGAACCGTCGTGTGTACTCCTGGACGTTCCCTATCTGGCGGAAATGACGCAGACGCTTCCTAGCAGCTTCGGAGGCGTTCACCAAGTCGAACCTACTTTTCAGCGCCGCTTCAAATCCTTCCCATGTGGTCGGAACCGTGGTAACACCCAAAGCTAAACTCCCTAAGCTCGAAGTTGCAGCTGCATGCCCCACGCCCTGTTGATGCCCGTCCGTCTTGTCAGAATCCCAGCCACTAACCACTGGGATAAAAGGGCTTGTTATAGTAGCGGGTGAGTGCGCCCATAACCCCCCAGGCCAACGTGCCTGTAACCCTTCCCTAGGATCAATCGGGGATCACCAGTGGACCTCTGACACCCCCCCGCACTGGGATGCCCGAGGTGCACACACCGGGATTCGAACCCGAGACCTTCGCTCTGATACCATGTCAGAATCCCAGCCACTAACCACTGGGATAAAAGGGCTTATTTGTGTAGCGGGTGAGTGCGCCCATAACCCCCCAGGCCAACGTGCCTGTAACCCTTCCCTAGGATCAATCGGGGATCACCAGTGGACCTCTGACACGTCTGAGCCCTTCTAACAGCAGTCTGCGTAAGTTGGCGCCACCACTCCAAGGCCGGCCCCCTCAACGGCGTCACGGCATACTCAATCCGCTGCTGCGCGTCCGCCTCTTGCACCCCGCTCGCGGCGAAGTAGTTGTTGAGCATGAAGAGCCACGTCCGCACGTTCGCGTCGCGCTGACTTGGGTCGAACAACTCTTGTTTCTGCGGCTTGAGCGCGCTTCGACGTTCCGGGATTTGAGTTTTTTTTCTGTTCAAGCCCTTTTACTTCATTTTGTTAGGCCCGACGGCCTAAGTCCGCTAAAGAATTAGCGGGGTCGACTAAGTCGAGGATAAAGCGCGGCGGAAGACTTTGGCGAAAGAACTATTGGCGAAATAGCCGAAGAGGTAACTGAGTAATTGAAGAAGAGTTGAATGAGAATTGGTTGATATGAGGGATTACAAGCAAGGTTGATATAGCATGCAAGAAACAAGGTTGGAAAGTAGATTGTGGGACTAGGAATTGTGAAGGTAGAAAAGTAGAGTGCAGGCCCTCAGATTCGTTTTCAAGCTGTCTGATTCATCAGACTTAGTGCACATTTTTAGTCTGATCAATCAGACTTGATACCATAGAAAAGTCTGAAATTTCAGAGTTCGAACATACAAAAGTCTGATAGAGCAAAGTTCACATAGTAGTGAAGCTTACCGATCAGCCTAAAACGAGGCGATACACCCGCGCAGCAGCAGTGCTGTCACTGTTTCAGCGTGACTGACAGGACGAAACGATCCTTCCGGCCAGGCCCCTAGATTCGTTTTGAGGTAGTCTGACGCCTCAGAGTACACCCCTCTTCCTAGTCTGGCTGTCAGAGTTACCTATTTTTTGTTGTCTGAAAATTCAGACTAGCACAAAATTTTTTGTCTGAACTGTCAGAGTTACTTTCATTTTTTAAGATGTTCATTTAGTTTCGTAAAAGCATAGTTATAATAGCACTGGAGCTGATTACAGCCTACCAACGCATCAGGCAACGTGCTCGTGCATCGCCACTGCTCATGTCGGCGGCATTCTGGTGTTTTTGTCACGTGCAGCGCATGGCTGTTTCTGCTGATATCATTTCATTTTGTCGTGTGTGTGAATACCGTTCTGTACCCATTTTCTCGCCTGTGTGCCAATTTTGTCAATGGATTTGCGTATCTAGCGATGCGATCGGTCACCCGATCTGCCACGCAGCTGAGCTGTCAGCAGGCAGAAATTGTTGCTTGGCGTGACATGTGAGCATCAAGTACACGAAACTTTCGCATGAAACTTTCACCACGAAATTGCGAATCAGATTCACGACCCTCGCAATTTCAAAACAGTGCGTGCTGCAGTTGTTTTGACAGCGAATCGGCATCGAAGTCTCCTATTCTGTACAATAAATTAGCGGTAACTTACATGTGACGAGATTTTGTCTTAAAAATCACGTAATCACGCAACCGTTTCCTCAGCGTAACTGGAAGATCGTCTCGACGAACGAGTGTATTCGGATGTCCCAGCTGTTGAAGTGTGCGTTGCTCACGTCCTGGCACTCCACTGCCATCTCGGAAGTGGGCATATTGAAAGGAAACTTCCAGGAAACTTCGCTCCGATAAGCGCGCAGAGTGTACCCTCGATATAAGTCTGAGGCTCAGCCTACACTTATAAAATTAGGCTGAAATTTCAGACAACTCATAAAAAAAACCTCTGAAAAATCAGACAAGGTACATAAAAATATTCTTAGACTTCAGACTAGGTACAAAAAAAAAGTCTGAACGGACTCTGAATCAGACTTTAAAGTCTGATACCTAGGGCACTGCTTCCGGCGCTAATTGCGGCTGTCTGTGCAGAGTTCGCGTAGGTACAATCGGAGCAGAGAGCCCAAACAGGATCAGGAATCAGAGTACACTCCGACGAAAAGTATGAAATTTCAGACAAGGCCTATACTTTTTTTCTGAATATTCAGAGTTTGCTGCCAAAAAAACTCTGAACTTTCAGAGTCCACTAAAAAAAAAGGCTGAATATCAGACTTTTTTAGGCAAATCAGAGAAATTTCTCTGACTTCTGGTAGAGTGCCACGTGGCACATGGAAATCTAGGAAGATAAGGTTGGATGGGTTGAATCTTTGCCATGACCAGGACTCTTGTTAGCTTCCACAGATGCAAGTTCTTCCGGCCATTTTCAGGTGCATGCCGCACTGTAGGGAAAGGCTTCTCAGGTGCATGCTATCGCGTCGTGATTCTCCCCTTGTTGCCACTGTTTGTACCCATCCGCCACTAAAAACACTGTTCTGTCAGGGGATGCAACCCACGCGACTTACACCAACAGGCCCAGCTCTCGCACGAACTCGTCGTCCAACCACACCAGTCGCAGCCACCCCCAAGGGAGGGATGCATGCGCAAAATCTATGCGCAAGTTCCTTTCCCCACCCCCCCCTCCCCCACCCTCTTCTCCCTTCTATCCAACAAGTGCTGGGCCCTGATGTTACCAGAACACAACACGGAAACCCTAATCCTACGTTACGAGATCTTACACGTAAGGGACCCCTCCTTAGAGGCTCATAGCAGGAACTTACACTACTAAGTCCAAAGTTAGATACAGTTCACGATGACAGTTACTAATAGTCTGACTCAGCTGGTTTCCAACATTTGCGGTGCGCTATCATAAAGGACTCGCCAGCGTTACTGTCTATGGTAATTTCCTTCTTGCTTAATTATCTAGTAATAAAATTCTCTAGGAACGTGACACTCCCACCGTCTCGTGACTCAGTAATGCCGGCACGTTAGGCCGCTGGCATCAACTTAACGAAGCCACGATTCAGGATCAGGTGTGATAGATTGTTGATTCAACAAAGATCAAGTCTCCAGATGGTTTAAACTCGAAATTTCTGTTTAGGGTAATGGACTCATAATCAATGAGCAACTAAAGAGTGACCGCCAGTGTGCGACCGTTCATCCTCTGAGTATGTGCATTCCTCTTTTTTCTTACCTGTGTGTATTCCCTCCTCCACCCTCCTTCCATCCCAATGCTCTTGCAGATGGCTAGTGGTGGTAAACGCACATTGGATATTGAAATCGGTAAGCGTTACCGAGACGCCATTGAGGCTCGAGATGACATTGAGCGCCAATGCCATCGTGCAAAGGTGCCACACATCTTCGCTGTCAATGGTCCGAAAAGGTTGGATGTCAAGTGCCCGTCTGCTTTTAAGCGGTCGCAGAGGGGGAGTGTCCAGAATGACATTCGCTGCCCTTTCAAGATTAACATTCGGGCCACAAGCGAGGGCGACCTGCGTGTTTGTAACACTCACTTAGAACACCATACCCGTTGTACCGCTCGCCCTCGCCCTGCACGTAGGAAAAGCCTCATCGCACTAGCAATGTCACTGCCAGCAGTTGGCATCACCCCAAAGGTTTTACAAAATGAAGCCTTGCATCGTCTTGGGGCAAAGACTTCGTATGCCACAGCGTGGCGTGCCTTGAACGACCTGAAGGAGAATGACCCTTTGCAAACTGAGAAATCATATCAGTTTGTCAAGAGCATCATAGAGAGACTAGTGGATAACAACCCTGGAACTTTGGTTACCCTTAGCAAGCATGCAGGTTGGTTTTTTAGTGCCTCTGTGATTCCGAGTGTGGCGAGATCCACCATGCTGAACGCCATACCTATCTTGATTGTGGATGGCTGCCACAATAAGACAGTGTGGGGAGGTCACACTATCAATCTGGTAGTGCTTGACGGAGAGGGTCACTACGTGTCAGTTGGCATTGCTTTTGTTGAGTCTGAGAGTAAAGAGGGCTGCTCTTTACCATTGAAGGAGCTACTTCGTGTCTTCCCAGAGCTGAACACACCGGCATGGACAGTGAAACACGACCGTGCAAAAGGATGGGATGCTGCATGTCGAGACGTGCTCCCCAATGCACGTGTCTCTTATTGCGTGACACACCTGACACGCAATTTCAGGGCCAAGTTCGGCATGGACTTGAGCCAGCTCATCCGAGACGCCTCAGAGACATTGACGGAGCAACTGTATGAGTTTCGTATGAACAAGCTCAATGAGCAATGTCCCGGTGGCCGATTATATTTGGAAGGGGAAGACGGCCAGCTGGCCACGCGATGGGCAACTGCAAAGTTTCCTGGTGCTCGGTTTGGTTGCCTCACGTCAAATCCTGTTGAGTCGCAGCATGCCTCAATGTCACAGCTGCGAAACAAGGCAATTGGCTATGTCATTTTGCGTTGGGCGCTGAAACTTGCTCTCATTCGGAGTGATCGGCTTACGGCATACTCCAACACCGTGGGGGAGTGGTGCACAACTGCCACTGAGGTTGTGCGAGGCAACTTCAATGATTCTTCTAGCTACTCTGTGCGCCAGCTTAATCAAGCGTCACACCGCTGGCTGGTCGAGCATGAGGAGCGTAATGAAGAGCGAATTGTGGACTTGCAAGCCAAGACGTGCACGTGCAACTACAGCAGGTACGCACATACAATGTGCACAAGTATTGCCGTCACTAATCTTCTAACGTTCATCAACATAGTGTATGTTTTTTATCTGGTAATGTCAGTTGCTGCATCTACACATGCATAGTGTTCATTAACAATGCCATTCACACACTCTTCAACACAACAGGGAGTACGGGCTTCCCTGTGTCCACATCTGTGCTGCTTCCGGAGAGGGTCGGCTGCCGTTTGACATGGTTCACCGCGTCTACAAGGTGGAGACGCTGAAGGCAATGTATTCAGAGGAGTTGGTTCCGGTGGATCCTTCGTCGTGCATTCTGGACAGAATTACGCTCCCTCCGAAGTACAAGAAAAGGCCAGGGCGGAGGAAAACAAAGCGCATCCGCTCAAGAGGCGAGATCAACCCTGAAAAACTTCGAAAATGTGGTAGGTGTAAGGTTAAGGGGCACAACAGTCGAACATGCGAAGAACGCGAAGAGGCAAGAGCACTTTGGGCCAATAGGTCAGTAGAAGATCATATCACGCTGCAAACAAGTGTGGTTCCACGTGTTGGAGGAAGTTATCAAGCGTGTATTGCATGTGGCCGTCGACACAGGCTGCGGGATGATTGTCAACGTGGACAGCATCGAGGGGGGGTGGAGGGGAGAAGAGGAGAACAACAAAGGGGAGGGGAGCATCAGAGAGAGGGGCAGCAGCAAAGAGAAGGGGAGCAGCAGAGAAGAGGGGAGGAGCACAGAGGAGGGGAGCAGGACAGAGGAGGGGAGCAGCACAGAGGAGGGGAGCAACATAGAGGAGGGGAGCAGCACAGAGGAGGGGAGCAGCACAGAGGAGGGGAGCAGCACAGAGGAGGGGAGCAGCACAGAGGAGGGGAGCAGCAGAGGGGAAGGGAGGAACAAATGGGAGGGGAGCACCATAGGGTAAGGGGAGGGGAGGTGCAGAGTGGAGAGACCCAGCAGAGGAGAGGGGAGGGGCAGAGAGTAGGGGGCGAGCAGAGGGAAGGGGAGGTGCAGAGAGAAGGGGTACAGCGGAGGGGAGGGGAGGCTCAGATAGGAGGGTGCCAGCAGATGGAAGGGGATGTGCTGACAAGAGGGGGGCAGCAAAGGGGCGGAGAGGTGCAGAGAGGGGGGGGAGAACAGAGGGGAGGGGAGTTCCATAGTGGAGGGTGGGAACAGAGGGGGGGGCGGGTGCAGAGAGGAGGGGAGCAAGAACAGGGAAGGGAGGTGCAAACTGGAGGGGAGCAGCAGAGGGGACAGAGAGACGTTCCAGGCATTGCTAGGGAACGTGATTCAACCCCACCTGCTGAGTGGGTGGTTGAAATCGAAGACATTGAGGAAGGTCCGAGCGTGGAACGTGATAATTCCGAAGGGGAAAGTGAAGGAGGGGAAATGGAAGAGCAAGACATTCAGGTAACAGATGGGCCCGATGCAACGGCGAACGGTAGCGCACATGTGACTGCGGATCGTGCGGAGGTGGAAAACGGGGGCGGGGAAGATGTGGAGGAGGGCACGTCGGACGACGATTGTGATTGTGATGAACCAGAACTAGATGAAGGTGAGCAGGAGCTGGATGCTTCAGGTGGGTCGGGAGGTGTTGGGACGTATGAGATTCTAAGCATGGGAGATGCTCAGCGGCAAATGGAGGGCCCGTATGGTCATCGTGAAGATATGGTTAGTGGGGACATTCCTGGCATGCTCACATCTGGTGCCCAAAGACGCGGAGGGATCATCATTGAACCTGAAACTGTTGAGAACCAAGCCACGGAAGGTGATGTTCCAAGCAGTACAGTGGCAGCGACCAATGTGACAACGACTTTGAATGAAGGGCAAGGTGAACCACAAACGGAACAGGGTATTTTGAGTACTTCAGCCAACCCTATGTCTCAGTTTTGGTCAGTAGTCCGTCTCGAGAGTCCGCCGAATGGTACCGATCCAGTCGCCACACGAAGGTTAAGGCGTCGACAGTGGTTCAGGTTACAGGTTGAGGTTGTCCCTGAGGAAGGTGAGGAGGAGGCCGATGACCAAGATGATGACGCGAATGTTGTGCGTGGACGGAGACGAACAGCTCGCCAAAGGACGCAAGTGAGCCAAAACAGGGCCCAGCGTCCAAGACGCCAAGGTCGACAAA